CGGCTGCTCGGGCATCTCCTGGCCGCCGCCGCGCTGCAGCTCGTGCCCGGTGAGTGCGGGCGGGGATAGTGCGGGAGCTCTGCCCGCCGGCGGAGCCAAGCGCACGGAGCAGTCGTGCCGGGGTGGGGGGCGGGGACGCGGTGCTCCCCTAGGGCGAGGGCTCCCGCAGGCGCGGCCGCGGTCTTGTTCCGTCTGCTGTGGCGCCAGCGTTGCCAGGTCTTAAATATGAACTGATCGAAGTTACTGTATTTGCTGAAAAACGTTCGTGCACTGGAAAATACGCAAATAAGTCTGTTTGCAAAGAAGTCGTCTCATCTCATTTACTTCATATTGCTCGCTGTAACTTGCCAGTGAGTGAGTGGGAATGGGGTCATCCAATTGGACACATTTTTCTATTTCAAGGCAAACCTAATAAGAAAGTGCTGATAGTAGCCTCAGGGGTGTACTTGGTAGCCGTGTTGGTCTGAGACAAAAAAACATACAAAAAACGAAAACTCTTGGTTCCAAAATGATACCTTTTATTAGACCAACTGGAAAATGGCAAGAAAATTGTCCTTTTCTGCAAGCTTTTGAGATCAAAGTCCCTTAGTCAGGCTCTGGGAAAAGTGTAGATGGTACAAGATGGTAAAAAGTCCCCATAGGTAGGAAATAAACTTCATTTTTGCACAGAGGGAGCTGAAGATGGAAGTCTGTCGCTTTGGATCCATGAGAGTCTGACAGTAGCCTGAAAGTCAATTGAAGCTCTCTGAGGGTGACTTGGGTTTTGACTATGCTGCCTCAGTTATCTGCCTCAAAAATTAACCTACATTTTGAACACTTCTATTATTATTGATCACACTCTGTACAAAGGTTAAAATTACCATACAAATATGCAGGCAGGGTTCTTTGGGTAGATGTGATATCTTTTATTAGACCAACTAAATAGTTGGGGGAAAAAAGTTTTTTGGCAAGCTTTTGGGCCCCCATCAGGCACAGGGAAACTGCTGTTGCTATGTGTTCTCCAAGGTAGAAAAGAAGCTAATTTACAACCAGCAGGCCTGTGCAAATGCAAGCGAGTGGAAGTTAGGAAGGCAATGGGTAGAGATGGGAGTGGGGAAAATGTGTGAAGGAATGCAAATGGTCAACTGGAGGCAGGTTAACTGGGGTATCCGATATCAGGCAGGTTGTCATGCACAAATATGATCATTATTATACACCTGGCAACACTGAACAGTACTGTCTAAGAGTGGCTGTGCTGCAGGCAGCGTTGGGCAGCCCAGGGGGGATGTTCTGCCATAGGCCTGCCTGTCCCACCAGCTGCCATCAGAGCTGGGCTAATTCACCCTGCCCAACCTAGACCACAGAGGGGCACTGCAAGCAGGCGATGGCATCTCTGACACCTGGGGAGCTGCAAGTGAATGAACCTCAGATGTTGGAATCGGTTGATATAACTCATGACTGGTTCTTGTGTTATGGGATCATGCTGCACACCAAAGATTTTGGGTAAAATCTTCCTTTCAAAACGATCTAGTAGTGTCTCATTTGCTTATGGGACAACCCACCTTTGGCTGCCATAGGTTATGCGGGGCCCAGGCTCTGCTCAGGCATTAGTGGATACCCAGCAGAGGCACCAGCTGACTAAGAGTTAGGAATCCTTCTTGAGAGTTGTGGAGTGACTTCTAGCCTTGTCACTCCTGTTCGATCAGGCTCTGAGCATAGAGGCTTTGTGACAGGGATGTGCCTTGTACTACTCACTGGTTGCTTGTTCTCCCAGAGGGCAACGGTGCAAGCCCTTCCCCCACCTTGGCACCCCCACTCAGCATGGTGGTGAATGGCGAGAGGAAGACGCTGGTGATGTGCATGGTGGACGATCTCCCTGAGGGCACGGCGGATGCCATCTGGTTTTCAAATGAGAATGGGAGTGCCTTGGACTCCTTCACGTATGGGTTTTCTCAGGCAGAGGACGGCACCTTCAGCGCAGTCTCTCACCTCTCGGTCCTCACCACAGAGCTGGAGTCATGGGCTTCGGTTGCCTGCCATGTGCAGCTGAACAAAACCACCCGAGTGTGGAGTGCCACCCTGCTGCCAGTTTCTGGTATGTATCAGGACAAACAACAGACATAGCCAGAGCACCTGCCTTGTGTCTTTCACCTTCAGTGCCCCATCTCTGTGACCTCACCCCTCCCTCCAATCCTATGCAAATCTTGAGTACCTATACTCAAGTGTTGTCCCTTTGACTGTGACTCCTTCCTCTCCTCAGGTACATCTTCTGGCTGGTGATATCCCTGAACAAATTGGGTCAGAAGGCAAGGGTCTAACAGCAGCTGGGGTTGCACTGCATGCTATTAAAATGCAATCAAAGTCTAGATGCCCTGGCAGTTAATTCAGTAGAGGGATTCCACCCTTTACAGGATGTTGGTCCCTAGAAGGAGTTTGAGTAATGGCAAATATGGTACAGAAGTATCAAGTTAGCTGGCTTGGAGGAGATTATGGTATCTGTGCAACAGTAGGGCTGAGATGTGGAGAACAGTGATGCATCTGGAAAGCATAGAGACTTAAAACTGATGCATTTAATAGAGCTCTCTCCAGGGTAATTCTCCACAGTCATTTGAAGCTAGTCTTCCATGATAAGCCTGATTTGACATCCATGCATCTCTTCCCTCTCAAAACAAAGGAAAATGTGATTGCATTGTAAGGGGATTTTTTTTCCTTAAACATGTTGCTATCAAGTATTTTACTACAGCTTAATATTTGTTTTGTTTGGGGCTAGTACAGTAGGTATGTAACTGTAACAGGTCACTTCTATATAGAGGAATGAAATCAGACCCCTAGGCTGAGATGGACTGGGGAATTTTTTTGTTCAGAGATGTTTCTATATAGCATGTTTCTAACTAAGGTAAAGAGGGAGTGCACAGAAGCAGTGTTATGACATCCTGTTAAAAATCAGGAAGCCTTTAATTAAATGACCTGGTTCTAGCTGCACCACTAACTGAGACATTGTGCCTACTCTGTAAGTTTCTTTGTATGTTTTGGCACAAAAGGGAGGTTTTCAAGGACACTAAGAGGAGTTAGAAGCCTGATGGATGGCTTAAGAGAAGTGTTGTCAGCCTATGACCCAGGGGCCAAATCTAGCCGGCAAAGGCATTGGGTCTGACCTGGCCTGGGGTGGCATGGGCATTCAGTCAGCACTTGGACATCACCACATGGCTTTAAAAAACTCTGCCTCTTTTGGAGCTTCTGAAATTATTGATCTAGAGGTTCTTGACATGTGTGAGCTGTTAAAGAGATTTCAATTAATTACTTAAAAGAATTTAGTAACTGTGGTCAGTCCTACTGCTTCAAAAACTCCTACCTCTACTGTTTTAAATTTCAGCAAAATAGAGATTTCTCTGCATGGGGCATTGCCATGTTAAATGTGAGTTTTAAAGTTCAACTGTTTCAGTTATCTCAGCAAAACAAACAAAAGAAGGGCAGCTGTTAGTTTTAAAACAAAAAATATATATATTAGGCACAGCTGTCTCAATTGCAAGAAATGTTGTTGAAGTTTCCAGAAACCTTGATTTTTGATCAGAAACCTAGATAGAAAGAAGTCAACCAAAAAGGAAATGCTTTGGAAATTTTAAAGGAGCATAAAAGTGAGTGCTTGTGGAAGGAATTGTGCTGGTACTCTTGCAATTGCTGTAATTCCTCCTCCTAATTGTTTTAACTCTGTCTTGTAGAAGAGATCATGGGAGAGACATGTCCAGATGAAGACGAAGGTGGTAAGTAATAAGCATGTATTGCTCCCAACCCCAAAAGTTGTCTGGGCATATTTGTGTTTTTGCATATTTGAATATTTTCATCACCATCCAATGAAGTAAGCCCTCTGCTTATGAAAAGCTTATGCTATCCATCTCTGATTTAGTTAGTCTGTAAGATGCAAATCTACCCTGGCTTCTGCCTCATATTTGCAGTGTCTGTCTGAACCCAGCCAATCCTGTGATAGCTTTCCATTTGGAGAAGGAGGCATGTGGATGCTGCCTTCAGTCTACGCTTCTTCTGAAAATGGATGTCTGAAGGATGTCTTCCTTACACAGCTGTACATTTACCTGTAGTGAAGTCACTCCAGATTTGCATTGGTGTAAATGAAACTAGGATTTGATTCACCAGTTTCAGATCTGCCATGCAGCCTGCTCACATCCTTGTCCTGACCAGACCAAAGGAATGCCTATGTTGTTGTCTATAGCTCCAGAACCTATCTTAGCCATGTGCGCCAGATTCCTACTGACACTGTATTAGATTCTGTCCACAACCCCTGAGGTCCATTATTAATTCCTTGCTGTGGTATCCCAAAGCCTGCTAATATGATGATCTCTGTTTCAGCTCTGCATTTCCGGTCCTACACTCTGCTTCTCTTGGCCATCAGAGTTTTGTTGCTAAAGTTCCTCCTGCTTGATGTACTGGTCACCTGTAGCTTCCTCTTCAGAGGGTAAGACTGTAATAAAGGAAATCTGTAAGGTACAGTTGAACTCTTAAGCATGGCATCTGATCACCAAGAACTTGAAACAACCCAAGAAGCTGCTAAAGTACCAATAACAGGGTGCATCTACGTGAGATATTTATTGCGGAGCTGACTAATTAGCTCCACAGCAAAGCATCAGCATCTACACATGCAGTGCTATTGGGCTGGAAGAAATTAATTAACTTTGCCATAGGATAGTACTGCCCAACACAAGTACTATCCTCCAGTGGAGTTATTTACACCACTGCAACACACATGTAGACATTGACCAGGGCCGGCTGGACACAAGGGTGCTACAGTGGGGCTGCCTGCCAGCTAGTATTCTCATCTCCCAGCCAGCTCCTCTGCAGCACAATGAGCTGGGTTGGAGCAGCATCAGGCTGGCAGGCTAACCTTCAGAGCCCTCTGTCAGCCGGGGCTGCACCACCCCAGCTCAAGGTGCTGCAGTCCCAGATACATGTGTAAACACTGCGTCTAGGAGTAATAAACTCCAGTGTGGACTGCACGGGAGTTTATTACACTGACTTAATGTCATGTGTAGACGCACCCACAGTGAACAAAATAGTTCAGTCATTTAGGATGCTGCCATTTTGTAGAATATACCTCTGGGGAGGCAGTTCCCATTTAAGTATAGGGGAGGGAGTAGGGAGGCCTAAAACTATGATTTGGGTTTATGCATCTAGAAACAGTTTGCTGCTGAGTCCAAGGTACTGTTTTAACTTTCTTTAATCTTTGTATGCATCTCTTTCACTGAATTCAAAAGGGAGCTGCACTCTCCAGGGCCTTATCTGCACTGCTATGGAGCCCCTCCTGCTAGTGATGTGCTGATGTAGTGCCCCCAAGCAAAGAGGTAGTGTATGCTGACAGTTTTTTCCTGTTCAGTAGAACAGCAAACTCAGATAGCAAAAGTTCTCTTCTGCTTGCAGGGGTCTGTAGAAATTATGAGAGTTCACTTTCACATACAGCCAGTCCCCTTTAGAAGTAAATATTTTGGGCCCTGTAACCAACAAGTGTCATTTGCCACTGATTTCCTCTGAAGGCCAGGCCATGCTGTGTATGACCTACAAGCTGGGGGTATGATTGTCTTCTGAATGTTGTGGCTTAGCAGGACTTCAAACACAAGCCACCTGGGGTTTGCTGTGCCTCTGCAGCATCTCCTCTGCTCAGGCAAAACAAAGAGTTCTACAAAATAGCAGCAGAATGAATTGTGGGTTTGGATGTACCTGCAACTTTTGCCAGCAGAACTTGAGTTCTTCCAGCAAACTTGTGCATTGTAAACTATATCTAACTGTGCTTTTAACACTGGATTGCTGCTGTCATGGCATCCATCACCTGAGGGAACTGCTCCTCTGAATTATGGGTTCCTCCTCAGGTATGCACTGTGTGTTTGCAAGGGTAACGAGAACACGGGAAAAATCTTTTGATGTTTTGTTGATTACGGGTCACAAAAGGATTTCCTCAGAATGAAAAAAAGCATCCAATTATTTGATACATCACTATAATAAGTCAAAACTGGAGTGTGCTCTTGTGTATCTGGTGAATCTTCTATCCATGAATGTGCTTCAGTGACTTCATGTCCTAAAGTGCCCTTTTTTGCCCCTCACTCTTGTTGACTGCATTTTCACACTAGTGCTGCAAGTGAGAGGGGAACAGTGGAGAAAACCCTGGTCATGCCATTCACTCCCCCTTTCAGAATCCACTCTGCCCCTGTGTAACACAGGCCTATTTATTGTTTAAGGGACAATGCCCGCTCAGAAATGCTCAAAGCCTCCCTTAGAAGGGAGGCCAGCAACTGGGTAAGCAGCAACTTATTCCTTGGTACTATTCAAAATAACAGGAATGAGAGTGAGGTCATAGTTTTAAAACAAGTGCACCAAGTTGTGGGGACGGGGGGACTGAGCACAGCACACTGGATAGCGCCTGCTTGCTCTCAAACAAGTCCAAGGAACCAGTGGATACTGCCTAGTGAAACTGCCTGGAGATGGGATCTCACAAGTGAAAGGAAAGTTTCCCAGCAGATCCTGGGGCCCCTCTTGGCCACAGCCTCCTTCCTGGTAAGATAGATGGTCTGGCTCCTGTGTAAACACAGGTTACTGGGCAAGGCAGACCTACAGTTTGACCTAGTAAATGGCTGTTCTCGTGCCTATGTTCTCAGGTACTTTTTGGGCCCTGACTGAAGTTCAGACTGAAGTAGCCACAGAGGGTCTGGACAGATGTTCATTTTCAATGCTACAAATACTGCTCTAATTTTGAAAGCTTCAACTAGAATGCTTCAGTTTTGTGCAAATATGTAAGATACCCCTTGCTTTCCTTGCCAAGTGCTTCGAAATACCCACAAAGGTACACAGCACCAGTGCTCTTCAGATCTTCCTGCATGCCTCTTGGCCTCCTGAGGGCAGCCAAGTGCTGTGGAGGAGAGCATGTGTTTGCTGTCTACCTCAAGGGAAGGGAAAGCAGATCACTGTGGGATAAAAGGACTGAATCCCTTACTGCACTGTGGTGGAGGGTGTAGACATTTCAGAAAGTGCTTTGGACATATTTGAAATGCTTCATTAGGCATGAACATCTGCATCCTTGCCGTTTGTATCACTTCAAAGACACTCAGCGCACTTCAAATAGCACACCTGCTCATGGTGAGAGAATTGGTGGCTAGAGTATGCTTGTGGGGAGGCCAGGCGAGCATATGTGAAGTGAGATATGGGCAGGGCACAGTTAGGGCAAAAGATGAATGGTGGAAATGAGAAAGGATAGAAGGGGCATAAATGGCAGAGCCTCAAGCCCTTCAACCACTCAGCAACTACCTACAGCTTGAAAAAGCTACACCTAGGGAAACATGGAGATTTTACATAAATGAAACACCAGTGTGATGGCATATTTTATTAATGAAATTTGCATAAATAACATCAATCACTATATCTGCAAAATAACTGCACTGAATGTCACTCAAGTCCTAGTACCCTCAGAGCCTGCCTAGATAACATCCACCCCTGTCCCAGACTCTACTAAGATTTTTCACCTAAAAAAGCCTTTTGGTATATACAAACCTGCAGAAATGAGGTAAGAAAGGATGCTGCTGCTTCTGTAATGAATTCACTTCAGACAACAGGGTAGGGCAGGGGTGGGCAAAATGTGGCCCCAGGGCTAGATGCGGCCCACTAGGCCATTCTATCTGGCCTGCGGGGCCCCTAAAAAATTTAGAAAATTAATATTCATCTGCCCCTGGCTGTCTATCATGCAGCCCTCGATGGCTTGCCAAAACTCAGTAAGCAGGCTTCTGCCCAAAATAATTGCCCACCCCTGGGATAGGGAGAGGAAATTCAACCCAGGACATCTTTGCTTCTGCCACCAACTGCTTAACATGGGAAAACGTCTAAATGAGCCAAGTAACGACGGGGGGAGGGTAAGATAAGCAGGTCGTAAGCCCATCTGTTAACCAATCGCCTGGGCCTTGGAGCCTCACCCGCTCCAGGTGTAAGGAGTGACCTAGAAAGCACTACCCGAAGACGAAGCAGAAGAGAATGTTATGTGACGAATGCCCATCTGCAATGATAAGGAGGAGACAGTCTTAGATAAAGAGGGCTTGAAAATAAAAGCAGAAGAGTACTGGGTTAAAGGGCTCATTAAAATACTAAAAATCATGCCCCTAGGTGGGGAAGAAGTATGCTAATGAAACACACATGTATGTAAATGAGCTACATGGCTAAAACACAGGTATAGAGACATGCTCAGTAAAGAACTCCTTGTGTCACTCCTTACAACCAATCAGCAAACAAGCACGCTGGTGAAAACTTGAAAACTCCTGTATAAAAGATGCTTAGAAATAGTAATCTGGTGTGCTTGTTACATGAAATTATTCCACTCGTCTTGTGTGCTTGTTACGTGAAATTATTCCGCTCACACCTTTTATTGCTAGCAATAAACTTTCTTTGTGCTTTCACCCCTGGTTTCTTTATTGGCCTTTGCATACCGGGCACGATCCCAGACTTGAGCTGGGGCACAACAGTTTTGGTGACCCAGATGGGACTGCCTTAGATAAGGCTTTGCCCGGACTACCTGACGACCAGAGAGCCACTCCTCCGAAGTGAATGTCAGGCGCGCCCCGGGATCTCTTTTCCCGGTGAGACTTTTGCTTCAGGGGGAGCTGGATCGCTGAGGCGGCCGGCAGTAGCCTAACGGTGCAACGCCATAGAGTGAAAGTACCAGTAACAGGCACTTGGGTGAGAGGGTAGAAAGGGCATAAGGCCTACCATCAGTACGCCTGCCTGGGATTATCTCTGTAAGTATTCTGTCTGGCCCGAGTCCAAGACCAGTGATTTTTCCCCTGTGAGGACGAGGACTAAGAACAGATCCCTGGATCCCAGGTAAGTCGGACGGTCAGAACC